TAGAAATCCTTGAGGGCATTGTTCCGTGTTCACCAGATCTTCCTTAAACATTCAAACGCGACCAAGAAGTTGTTTAACAGAATACTAATATATCAATCCCTTCAAACTAGTATTGAACCAAAAGGACTTTAGCAATGGTAAAGCAAAAGCATGTAGCTGTCTTCTCATTGATATGTTTTGTTAAATATAATACAACCAATTTTCATATATGTTTGAGAAAAGAATGATAACTTGGAAAATGAATGAAAGATCTTGCAAAGAACCTTTGTGTATCTATACACGTACATGCATACAAAATCCGAAGGCCAAAAAACAACAAGAAAGAAATGCAAAAGCATTCGATTAGGTGTCACCGGGGTGCCAAAGAGACAGTTAAATCCGTGAGCACGCCCATCTTCTCAGCCCATTTCTGTGATTCCAAAAACATTTGTGAAATTCGACCTGCCACCTGGCCCATATCTGGCCGGGTATCTGGATCATCCACAACACAATCCAGCGCCAGCCGCGCCAATTTCTCCACCACCTCCACTGGGAAAGAGTCTTTCAACCTCCTGTCAACCCACTTCCTTATCCCTCCACCACCACCCTCCACCGCCTCTCTAGCCGCTTCTACCACCGATATCCTCACATATGCTCCAGTTTCCTCATCAACCCTGTACTTCAACGCTTCCATCCCAGACAATAACTCCAGAACCACAACCCCAAATGCATACACATCACATTTCTGAGTCGCAATCCCACTTCTCTGAAATTCTGGCGCCATGTAACCTCTGGTTCCCTCAAACTTGTTTATCTTACTATTTGATCTCTTAAGCTCTTTCGACTTCCCAGTCTCTCTCACAATTTCACCACAAAGCTCAGCAGTACCAAAATGGCATATTTTTGCATTTAATGACTTCTCTGTAACAACAACACTACTACTCTTTATATGATTGTGCACAAACTCAAATCCCAATCCAGTCGAATTATGAACATAGTCAAGGCCATGAGCAATATCAAAAGCAATCTGAATACGCGAAATCCAGCTAGACAACACAGTAAAATTCGGGTTTTTCGCATTTCTCAAACAATCAGCAAGACTAGCCCCAGAAACATAATCATAAACCAAGTATATATAATTACCAGAAATTGAAGCCCCTTTCAATCTCACCAAACTGGAGTGATTACACCTGCAAATCACAGAAAGATGACCAATTAACTGCTGGGTGTCCAATTGGCGCCGGAACTTCCGCTGGAAAACTATTACATCCTGATTCCGTACACTACACCGCCAAGAAGTGGACGAGGAGGAGGAAGTGAAAGGCTTGAGCAAGAAATTGCGAGTTGCAACAGAAATTTCAGAAAAATCATAGATATGGGGCTGTTCGGAGAGGACGGATTCTCTGAGGCTTGAAAGAGAAGTCCGGCTAGATATCGAGGATTGCCATGAGTCTTTATAGAAGCTTGAGGTGGAGGCTGTGCTTGGGATCGCGAAATTGTTGTTGCTGGTTGACGAGTTTTCTATTGAAGATTGTTGGGATTTCTTGGATTTTCTTGCTGATGATGATTTTGGAGTGGTTGAGTGTTCAATCACATCTGCAGTCATTTTCTTCTTGGATTTACACATGAAGAACATCAACTACAAAATAGAAAGAAATAAACAAAATGAGAGGTTGTTTTGCAAGTGGGGAAATGGAGAAGGATGGTGGAGTTAGCATATAGGCGGTGGCGCGCGGTGGTTCTAGGTGGTAGAGAAGATTAGTTCAGCCCTATCTATGGTTCTTTGTCAGCGGATTACTGAAGAAGACGAGATTCCAGAGGGAATTGGAGGTATTTTAGAGAAGTCTTTTTCTTCGGGAGGGTTTTAATTTTTCTTTAATTAAATTTCTGTCGCGATTAGTTTGACTTGACCGTGTTTGGCTGGGAATAAGTTGTTTGCTCACGAAAAAAAGTACTTATTTTAAACTTAAAAATAATAACTATATTCAAAATAAATATTCTTACATAATTAAAATTTGCACTATTTGGCTATAAGAAATGAGGAAAACAATTAGTCCATCTAAATTTAATCGAGTCGACTGAAACCACAAGAGCCACAATTTGGGTAAGCAAGAAATGACTTAGCCCCTGTTTGAGTCACCTTTTTTTTCATTGATATTAAAAATATAATCGTTGGACCACTTCGTTTCTAACAACCCATTGCCTTTGTACCACATATACAATTTCATTTTTCCACATTTGTCATTCGACATTTCAAAGTCTGGAATTCCTGCCACCATAAATGGACAACCAACAAATGATGACAAAAATGTAACTTGGTGGAAATTGGAAAATGAATTGAAAGGGGATCACATGTAGATGGTCTCATTTGATTTGATGTGAAAATGCATTATGGGGACAAAAATGGGGATCAAACGGGAGCTTAATATCGAATAAAATTATTGCAATCAATGTAGAAAAAATTGTCTCGAGGCTCTTTATGACTCATAAGGGAATCATATTCAACCATCACAACTTTTTTCTTTCACACTCATCTCTTAAAACAATTGCCTCTACATACTCCTTTCTAAATTAACCCACCGTTTTAATTGATTGAGCCCTCAACACCACCCCAAACTCATCGTGCACAACTGCAGAAATTTGCTTGTAGACTTCCTTATAAGTAAATAATATAAGCTTACCCAAACATGCACCTATGAGTCCAATGACCCACGGTTAAATTCTAAAGTTAGTCCTTCTAATAGTTGGTAACTTGCTCCTCAAAATTACGTCTTTTCTATATTTTGCAATCTAAAATTGAAGTGTAACAAATTACACCTTGTAATTTGATGAATTCGTTATTTTTACTTGAAAAAAAGACTGCAAGATTGTTGATAAATAGAATGCTAATGAAAATTAATTTATGTGACAGTATAATCACAATTACATTGCATAACACGGTATGAATACATATTAAATGAACAATGTAATAGTTACTTTAACTTACTATCACTATCAGATAGACACTCGTAAATTTGTAATCACCCATGAATGACATTATATATTGAAAGAGGATTTCATTTTTCACTTTATGACCTAAAACAAGCAATTATTTAAGGACTTTGCTAGACGTACAGGGAAAAGGGGGAGTGGGTGGTTCACATGCAAGACACATATAGGGGAGGGGGTGGGTTTTTTTTTTTTTTAAACATGTGAGCCCGTCAGGTTGTGAGAGGCCTGATAGACCCATGTGAAACCTCCCACCTGTACGTGGGGGTTTTCCATTATTTAATCATCATATTGAAAAATGAGTTATAAAATATTCCTATTGGGAAGATATTTATGGACGCAATCAATATTGAAAATGCATTCAACAATTTGATTGGAGAGTCGTGGAAAAATACAAAAGCATGACGAAATCAAACAAACATTGACCACGTTGTAGTTAATGTCGTTTAAGGTTTAAGGTTGAATATTTTGCAATATTATCTTATGTATTACGTGTCCTCCAAGGCTCCAACTTGAAATGTTGAAATCAATAACTTTTCAGTTTCTGGGTTGGCACAAATTTAAATTAGAGTAACGTTATTCATCCTTAGTGGTGATGAAAACACAGTTTAGATGGCTTTAAATGATAGGTTAAATGAAATGTGAAATTAAATGACTTATTTAATTTCACCTATCATTTAATGACACATTGACGCCATGTAGACTGTGTTTCCATCCCCAGTAGGGATGAATAGCATTACTCTTTAAATTATATAATAAGAGGAAAAAAAAAAAGAATTACCAGCATTAATTTCATGAATGATAAATTTACATTGCAATCAACTCACATAATCTCTCTCTCTCTCTCTGTACACTTGCTCAATTTCGAAAGCCTACGCCCTATACCCCTTGCAAGTTGCAACCTAATCGCATGTCTTTTCCTTAATTCCCTGAACTACCCCTACCATCCTCCTATGGCACTATCCTAAACTTGCTCAAGCTTGTTTGAGAGGAATTTTTTGAGGAAGAATTGATTTTGAATAGTGATATGATGGGAAATGTGTGGTTGAAAAAGAAGAAAAAATTATTGATGTGATGGAAAATATTATTTTATTGAAAAATGTGTGGTTGAAAATGAGAATTGATTTATTGTAGATATGAGTTATAAAATATTCCTATTGGAAAGATATTTATGGACGCAATCAATATTGAAAATGCATTCAACAATTTGATTGGAGAGTCGTGGAAAAATACAAAAGCATGACGAAATCAAACAAACATTGACCACGTTGAAGTTAAGGTGGTATTGTATACAATAAAGAATTAAATGTAATGTCGTTTAAGGTTTAAGGTTGAATATTATGCAATATTATCTTACATATTACGTGTCCTCCAACTTGAAATGTTGAAATCAATAACTTTTCAGTTTCTGGGTTGGCACAAATTTAAATTATATAATAGGAGGAAAAAAAAGAATTACCAGCATTAATTTCATGAATGATAAATTTACATTGCAATCAACTCACATAATCAATCTCTCTCTCTCTCTCTCTCTCTCTCTCTTACTCAATTTCGAAAGCCTAGGCCCTATACCCCTTGCAACCTAATCGCCTGTCTTTTCCTTAATTCCCTGAACTACACCTACTATCCTCCTATGGCACTATCCTAAACTTGCTCACGTTCTTTCATTCCCAAGATAAACCCCTTGTGGGGCTACTTGTGTCTTTTCCCCTTCAGTTTTACCCATAAGAGGACCAACACCAGGCCTCCCTCAGCCGCTTCTTCCCATGTTTTCAGCACCAATAACTTTACGCATGCATCTCTATATATCTCTGCAAGTGTGTGTTTCTTGTTTGACTCTTCGTTTATCTTCTTATACGCATAATTTACACGTACATATATGTATATCCCATAGGCTGATTTCTAGAGTGATTCTATGATTCTTTTCATCTCTATAAATGGGTTCGAAAACCATGCGTAAGTATTATACCTGCAGCCCTCTCTGTATCTAAAATGGAGGTTGACAATGTTGTCAATGGGCCAGTAGGGTCCAGATGGAACCCTACAAAGGAGCAAATAACATGCTTGAGAGTTTGTACATGCAGGGTTTAAGGACTCCAAGTGCAGAACAAATTCAGCAGATTACAAATAGGCTGAAGGCTTTTGGGCACATTGAAGGCATCAAGGCAAGAATGTTTTTTATTGGTTTCAGAATCACAAGGCAAGGCCGCAAGGCAAAGACAGAAGCAGAAGCAGGATAATATTGATCTGTTTTTACATTCTTATTGTGACATTTTTTTATTTTTCTCCATGCAGCAAATTGTGTATATTTGACTCTTCTTAAATTATTATTATTATTATTATTTGTTTTGGTGGTTCCAGTTGTTTGCAGCCCCTGCTTCATACAACCACCACCTCATGTTGATTTAGAATTGTACCAACAGTACTCAAAGATACCCCTACATGGAGGTTTCGAAAGGAGACTAATTCCAGAAAACAACGATAGAAACAAGCACCCTGCGTGTCAAAAGTACAACAGATTCATGCATCCCAGAAGCATAAACCAGGAGTTGAAGTACCAGTCTTGTGCAAAGGACAATACTCAAGAAACACTGGACTTATTTCCCATTCACCCAACTGGTGTTTTACAAGCAAAAAATGGGATTTCTACAAATGCAGAGAATTCAACTCCTAGTACTTTGAGTTCCTCTGAAAATGACTGCATTTCTGGTAATCAGGGAGGAAATTGTGGCCAGAATTTTTTTGCCTTTTTCTGTGGGAATGACACTTACGAAAGTCACTGAATTCCAAGATTTCAGCAGTACTGACATTGTTCTGTGATCTGGGGTGGTATTGATTCTTATTTAAGATTGATTAGAATTTATCTTTGAATTATTCTACTCAACCAGATTTTAGTTCACAGATTTTGTACAGACTATCTCACATGAGGTGGATCTCGAAGACCTAACTCATTAAAAAAACCCCCAAAAAATGTTAAAACACCCACCCACCCCATCTCACATGACTGTGCCAGGTCTTTTACAGACCTGGCACAGCAGCAGAACTCTTTATCTTTTGCTGTTCTTGGGCTTGATATCTGAGACTGACAAAGGGTCCTTTATTGCCTTGGACAGAATGCTTTCGTACAGAATACGAAACCTTTCGGATTTTTCTTAGTCCACTCTCCCGATCGTATATGGTTAAAAGTTTCCATTTCTTATGTTTTTTTTGGTAAAGCAAGACTAATTTATTTTATGATATGTTACACGATCATTTTCAATCACACATTCATATAATAAAATATTCTACAAATATATCAAAACTTTTTTCTATATTTTAATTACACATTCCCCTAAAAATATGTCATTTTCTCCCCAATTAACGAGAATTAAACGGTCTCTAAAATTGTGTAATACAAGGTCTCTTTGTCCTCGTGTGAAAAATTAGACATTTCCTTTTGAGTTTTGCCAATGTAAAATAATAAAACTATTTCCCACAATTGGGACCCAAAAAAAAAAAAAGGTATGTACATATATATATATATATACACACACACACATACATACAAACAACTGTGCTAATTAGAAATTCATCATATTAGCAGGTAAACATGGCAAACTCCAAACAAGTTGATTGAGAATTACCACGGAAATCCTAAAAAATGGTAGGACTCTGGTGCTGAATAGCATCACTCATCCTAAAAAATGGTAGGTCCTAATGAAATTGAAATCACGTTTGCCTAATTTGAAACTTATCATTGTTAAAAAAGAGTCTGACTTAAGATGATTCTAGACTAATCTTTTCAAGAAATAGTGCAAATCCTTTGAAATCCAAGCAACATAAAAGACAACGGATTATTGAATACTCAAGATGTTTCTAGGCCAATCTAGGCAAACCTGCCCACCCACTCCAAAGTCATACTACGAAACTTTCTAACTACAACTAAAAAAGATATTGGTACTGGAATTAGCTATGGATTTAGATTGTACTCATTCTGATTGAATGAATTGATAAAATCCTATCCGAGTGAATTGAGAAAATCCTCAGGCCATTTAATCACGTCACAAAATGTCCAATATCACACACATATCAAAGCATTGGGTTGCTATAATTCCAATAAGAAAATGATACAGAAATTCTTGTGAATCGAGCACATTTTGTGACGTGAAATTTTCCTATACCTATGGATTTATTCTTCCTAGCAAAACTTGCAATAGTAATATACTCATCTTATATTCAGATTTCAGCAATAAAAGAGTGCAATCCAACCAGTTACTCAACAGTCGAAGTAATTCAAACATACTAAGCAAAATATTCGACACTAACTTAACAAAATTTTAACAAATTCTTGCCGGCTAAACTCAATTACCAAGAAACAAATTTCTTTTGATAAAATTTGGTAGATACACTGCGCAACCATAACCAGCAGAGTACAAAATACTTTTCCAAATCCAAACCAAAAAACTACCAAGAAATAAATAAAGTTCTCCAGTCATTGTCGTGGAAACAAGGACTAACTACAGTCGAATCAAAAGTTAATATGAGCATAAGCCTGAAGGGCATCACCAGTGAGTCGACAAATTCTCCACTCCGGTAATATCTGGGCCCCCATCTGCTCGTAAAACTTGATGGCGTTCACATTCCCGTCCAACACCACCCATTCCACTCTCCCGTACCCCATCTTTGCAGCCTGTGATACAACTGCGGTCAACAGTATCTTCCCCAGTCCCTTCCTTCTGTAACACTCCCTCACAATTCCAACACCACCCATTCCACTCTCCCGTACCCCATCTTTGCAGCCTGTGATACAACTGCGGTCAACAGTATCTTCCCCAGGCCGTTCCTTCTGTAACACTCCCTCACAAAGATATCCTCAACATAAAACTCGGGTTTAGCCAGAAACGTCGAGTAATTCGGGAAAAACAAAGCAAACCCTCCAACAATCACATCACTGCCCAGAATATTAACATCAATTGCCCTACTCCTAAATGATTCTCTTTCAGGATCTTCAATGGGGAGGTCGAGGTGGATCGATTTCAGAATCGGAGTAAAATGTGCATCCTGTGGGGTGGGAGGGAATGGCGTATAAGAAAGCTCAAGAAGAAAAACGGTGAATGAATTAAAAGGCGGAGGAGGGTTTTGGGGAAATAGAGTATTGGCAAGGGACTCTGGGGTTGCTTCGAAGAGGTGGGTGAGGCGCTCGGAAACAGCCTTTTGGTGGATAAGTTTGTGGATGTGGGGGACGTCATCTACGGTGGCGAGCCGGATGCGGGTGAATAGAGTGTCGCCGGAAGGATCAGATTCCGGGAGGGTAACGGGGGCGACGGTCGGTGGAGGGGGCGGAGCTGCGGCGGCCATTTTTAATATTTGTGTCAGAGATTTTTTTGGAAGAGGAAATGGAATTCTTGTAGGAAAGTGGGCAATGTCTAGGGGGTTTCTTATATAGAAAATTCAGAATGGGAACTGTTTGGATATCGGAAGGAAAAAAGAAATGTAATGTGACAGGTGGAGATGTAAAGGATAAGGGGAAATTGTTAGAAACAAAGTTAATTTGGACTTCTCTTGCTAAGGTCACCTAACCTTTATTTTTTCAATTTATTATTATATATATTTTTAATTTTTTTTTGGCGTTTTTACTATGAAAAATTGCATTTGAATATAAAGGGCATAAGAATAGGGAAGATTCCCTAATTAGGTCATGTTTAGTCCACGCTATTTTTTTCATTCTCATTCTTCTACTCATTTTCAACCACACATTTTTCAATAAAATAATATTTTCCATCACATCAATAATTTTTCCTTCTTTTTCAACCACGTATTTCCCATCACATCAACAGTAAAATGCATTTTTACCTTCAAAATGTGCACCAAACGGGGGTTTAATGAGAAATGGAGAAGGGCCAAAATCCTTGCCCCGATTTTTTACCATTCTTTTCTAGTTTTTAAAATAATTTATAACTATCATATAATTAATATAGTTTAATTAGTTTATTAATTTATAATACCTAATTTAATATTCTTTAAAAAACAAAAAATGTATAAACATGACCATAAACGAGAATTGGGAGTTTCTTATCCCCGTCCCATCTCGACACAACCCCAAATAAGCGGAGATGTGATAGGAAAATCTCCGATGAGGCATGGACAAGGAACATGATTCTTGTCGTGAACCAACCCCTTTGCCAGTCCGACATAATAAGCTTATGTTTGCTTAATATTAAAAGTAGATAATAAATTTCTTATTTTATTATCAAAGTTTAACTTTAATATCAAAAATAAATTCAAAATTACTATTCACTTATTATCTATAAATTTTATGGGACCTACTACTATTCCTCTTAAAAGTTATTAATATTTTTTAACTAAAAAATTGACGTAAAAGGTCTCAAACCTTTTAAAAGTAACGTAAATTGTCCCGAAACTTTTTATTCTTGGTGCAAATGGTCCTTTTGGATGGATTCCATCCAAATCAACCGTTTGTCCCATGAAATCTCTTTCTTATAAAGGGAAATTAATATGTAATCCTAACTTCGACGAAAGTAGAAATCATGCCCCTAACTATTTTTTTGTCTTTCTTTTGTTCACATCCTTTAAGAGATTAAAAGTAAGACCCTCTTATTTATATATCCCTATAATATATATCTCTACTCTCTTAAAAGATGGACTTTGAGGATTACTATTCATTTGTAATTTCTCCTCACATATCACCGTTCCATATGTGGAAAAAAAAAAATGCAAGCCTTCGTGGGCTTTGGAAAAAAAATTGGCGGTCTCCGTGCGCTACGGAGCACCTCTCCATGCTGCACGGAGGTTTTCTCTGTGCCGTGTCTCTGTGGAGACACAGAGTTGTGTCTCCGTGTGTCGATGTCTGCTCACGGAGATGCACGGTTACAGCCAGATCTCCACCATCAACATCATCATCGAATGACAATTCAAATGGGATATCGACGGGAACATTAGTGGGCATAGCCATAGGGAGTGTGATTATACTTGTAATTCTGACTATACTTTTTATATGTTGCAAGAGAAAGAAGAGAAGAACGCATTACTACCCACCACCGCCACCACCTGAGCCTAAAGGTGAGAATTGTTCAAATTTTCAGTTGAAAAGATTTGATTTTTCATACAGTCGAGACTCAAGTTCAATCTTAAAGTCTAAGACTAGATTTGTCCTTAACATATATTGCTTTAAAATCTTGATTTTGAGTTTAGTTGATGATTTATCAGAACTGATTGCTTTATATTCCTTTCATGGGAATGTATATTGTTTGTTTAATTCATTTGATCTTTTGAACTGTGTTTATAGTAGATGAACTATTGGTTCTCTAACGTTTTCATATATAGATAGGGATGCAATCGTTTTGTATGCAAATTTAATCTATTTTCAAGGATACATTCTGGGAATATTATCAATTAAGAAATTGTTCTTCGGGAGTTGTTGGTTTATTGAGTGTACAATAGAGTCTGGTTTAAGAAAAAGGTATAATTAGGGATGAACTTTTCCCACATACATATGCTTAACTTTCATGTATATGGGGCTGTGTAAGCATATTGTTACTAGATGTCATTTTCTATAGAAATCTCTGCGGTGAGGGGAGAAACTTTAAAATGAAGAAGATGCAGAACTGAGACATGAAGATTGGACCCAAACTCCAACTTCTCTTTATACGTGGAGTGGAAAACAAAATATAGTTTACTATGCACCTTGGTATAGAAAATTATCCCAAAGTGTATTAGAACACATCTTTAAGAAACAAAAGCTCAAAACCTGACCAATTAAAAGTGTTGGAAAATACATAGAAAGGAAGCGCAGTGCAAACAAAAGTAGCAGTGATCATGATCCCAAACCAGGGCAGAGAGGGAAGAGGTTAAATGAAAATTAATTCAGCATTCTTGACAAATAATCACCTCAAACGTCATAATAAGCAACAGTTAACACAAAAGAATTAGGTTTACCCAAAAGTTCCCGTCACTCAAGTGGAGACATGAGTATTAACATCAGAAGTAATCTTTGCAAGACCAAAATCTGCAACCTGAGACAATAAATGATGCTCATCAATAAGCATAATAAAATAGATAAACTTATCAAATCTCGTCTACATCAATTATTTGCATGTTCAAGTTAAGTTGAGTTGCTAATTTCACTGTGGTCAGGAAAAATCTAAATAGACCTATTTTATGAGGAAATAGAGTTTCTAAATCCTACTGCTCATTTTCGAATGAGATATGAGTCGCTGCCTAACTGAGAATGACAAAAGAGAACTAAAGCGCAGCCATTTTGTAAGGATCATAATTCTCCAACCATGACTATAAAAGACATTACCTTTGCTTCAAAGTTGAAATCGAGAAGAATATTAGCTGCCTTGATATCCCGATGAATAATCTTTGGATAACCTAAGCGCAGAAAACACCCCATTCAGAATCAAATATATTACTTGATCCAAATGCTTCCAAATCCTGCCATACTGCATGTAAGTGCAACTGATAAGGAAAGGAAAAACTGAGAAAAGATAATAAAATATAAAATGTTAGTATGTGCCACAGCAGGGAGAAATTGAAAATCTAAAATTAACTAACATCAACGGTCAAAGAACTAAAGATGTGGTGGAAAAGATTGTCTAATGAAAGGAATCCAAGAAAACAAATTTATAATGCTGAGTTGTTACCCCAAGGATGGAGTCATCAAAATAAATTTGATGAGCCGAATATTGAAAGGGACATGGATTTCTGTCAAAAATTTGGTTATAAGTAAAGAGGAAAAGCAGAAGTTTAATTTGAACATGTCATGGATCCTTTGATATTGCTGTAGAATTGATTGAAAATCAGGTAGAATATGGGGTTAGAGGAAAAATCTAATTGTGCCGTGAAAGCAATATAATCCTTCTACCAATGTCACATTATTTGCATCTGCAGAGCTTCAAACACCATGCCAGAAGTCGTCAATGTCCTATCACTATACTGGTAAGAGGAATTAAAATCTAGGCGAACAATGAAAATTCAAAATATTGAATTTACATTTCTATATGGATGTTAATATGTGCTAATAAATGTGCTATTTGGAGGGGTGATCATTTGTATAATAATGTTTTTATGAATGTGATTCGGGGTGTGGAGAGAGGTATTGATTTATCACAGACACAAAGCTCTCCTTTTTTCCCCCCCTCGTGCGATGAAGTATGGTTTGTTGTTTCTTATGATGTTGCGGTTTTGAAGCCAAATCAATTCGCAGTTTCTAGCAATTCATATTGACCTTTTATGTAGAGGATGAGATGTTTGGAGCTAGAAACTGAATAGAGGACAATATGGGCCTTTTATGTTGATTTTATTGGAGAATTCGACACATTTAGATCATGTTTGATTACCACATTTTTCATGAAAAATGTTACATTCGAGGAAAACGAATTCCAGTTTGACCGTTTAATACTTTGATTGCAACGTGGAAATGGAAAACGAATTCCAAGGTACAACTACTTTAAGCTACATTTTTTTTTATTTTCATGAAAAACGAATTTCTATAGATTTGATGGGTTTTTATTTTCCAACTAACATGAAATTTAAATTTCTTTCCACCTTTACACATTAAATGGACATTTAAAGTTAACGCGGCTTGTAAAATAACCAATCTCTTGCATTTGCACGGGCAAAAACTGGTAATATATAAAAGAGCAAAGTAGGCATCATCATGACATCATGTTAATGTCATATATATCAATTTTGGCATTTTTCAGCTTGACACAATTTTTTGTAGTCCAGAACGTAAAACGTGTAGAATTACTTCTTTATGGACAAAAAAGAAAAAAGAGAAAAAAAAGAGAGAATTATTCTAAATGGGGGATGTAGCACGATTCAAAAAAAGAACTCCTCTGCACGAAGGCACTAAAGTACAGAAATTTCATGCAACCGTTCGAATCGGATCGAAATTTTCGGGTTTTTAGTAAGTGGAACCGTCGGGTCTAAATTTAATTATGGAACCGTTCGGATTCAGTTACATTTAGTGCAATTCAGTTCGGTTCGATTCTATACAATTATCGGGTTCCGTACAATAATTAATTTTTTTATATTTATAACAACGCTAATTAATTCGACTATGACATGTTCAATCTGAATTCTTACAAAATAATGTATTCCAATCTGGTGATATCTTTCGCACATTTCTTTGTTGAATTCTTCATAGACTTAACTATTAAAATTACAAGAAGAAGAAGATAGCGAGTACACAATAATAAAACGGCGGAAACAACGCTATGGTAGAATAAGAAATTTGGGTAAAATTTAGGTCAATTTGATTAAATTGGGATTGATTAAAAATTGAAAATAGTAAAATCGTATTTTAGGTATGAATTAGTTAGCAAATTCAT